TGATCTTTGGAATTGGTGGGCGGCCTATAAGTCAGTATTTTATTGTTCATTATTTTTTTTTTTTTTTTTTTTTTTTTGAGCAGTTTTTTTTTTTTTTTTTTTATCATTTATTTTTATTTTATATAATAATTCAAAGTCATGCTTCTTAGTTCTATCGATAAATGATGACACTACTTATCTAAGAGTTTGGAACCGGTTTTATTTTCATGTGTTAAGCCCGATTTTAGCCGGTTTAAACATTGAAAAATAAAATCGGTTCCAAACTCTAAATTTCATCATTAAAGCTTAATACTTACAAATATTCAAAATCTGTTACGTCATCATAATCTTCCATATTTACATCTGGTACAAAGAGACGTTCATGTGGGTTACGTGGTTTATTTAAAGAGGAAATTTGTGAATCTTTGTTCTGAGGTGTGGCCTCTCGACTTTTAGTTGATGATTCAGCCGAAGAACTATCATGCATCATAGTTCTTGATGAGTCAGTATATTGCTGACTATCATCATCATCATCATCACCATCAATAGTGAAGAAAATGTCTTTACTATTAGCAGAGGCTTGTTCTGGTGTTATTAAGCCTTTAGCAAGAGCTGCTTGTGTAGCAGCTTGACGTTTTCTTCTAATTTCTTCCTCTTCTTGACGACGAACTTCTTCTTCTTCCGCCGCTAATTGTGCATCAGTTACAGGATTGCTTCGAGTGACCTAATATGAAAAATAAATTATGAAATATGATACATTATGATGTTTCTACCCGTATTTGACTGTATATCGATCTTGCTGAATTTTTTTTAATCTATTCGAAAATCGTTGAATCATTCTTTGTTTACTTGAATTCATTTAATACAAAAGTATATTTACCCGTTCAGAAAATTTATCAATTTGCTCGTCAGGCAGAAATTGTGCGTCCTGAGTTTGTAAATTTTCACCGTCGTCATCTAATAAAGCATCTTCATTTGGTAAAACCATGTTTACCCTCCCATATGCTGGTGGGTGATTTGAACGTGAAAATGGTGTACCCGATAATAAATTCGCTAACGACGAGCGATCCTGATAAATCAGCAGGTTCTCGAACTCTACATTGTCTTCGTCATCATAATATAAATTGCCAAACGGTTGCATTGAATTGCCACGGTAACGATAGCAACAAGGACATGTTTTATTAAAGCAAGACCACGCTTTATTAAAGCAAGACCACATTTTTTTAAATTTTTAAAACTTAAAAAATTGCACTTGAATTGTTCTTGTATAATAAAGGTACGTATGAAAATAAAGCTATTTATATATAAGCGAAGCTCTGACGCAATCTGACGAGCATACAGTATAAAGGTAACATGGAAGATAGAAAAAAACACAATAAGATTGGTTAGGTGCTTTTATACTTGTATCAAAAATAGGGTACATAATAACATGTCAGTTACATCATCCTATCAACAAACGGTATGACCACATGAGATAAACTTAAAAGATGATTGATTAGATCATTTCATTTTATCTCCATCACTGCTAGAAATAATTGTGCTTGTCAAAACATTGACCAGTAATAAAAAAACCATTTTTGAATACAATAAATTTACGGCTAGATTGAAGATAACGTAACAAGTAAAGATCAACAATATTATAAAATTATGGCTAGAAGTCTCTTGTAAGCTGGGGAGCAATCTACAAAACGGATAATAAAGAGAGAAAATTAAATTCTTTAAATATATGCGCATTATCAATTCGAAATATTCAAATTTTCACGTCTTTCATTAGCCATTTTGACTCATTTTATTATGATCAACTATTATTTTTTTCTTCTTTTTCAGTTTTCACAATTGAATTAGATCTGTAATAACCTTTTCTAGATGATGAGCTTCCAGTCGTGGTAACGTCGCTCCGAGATAATCCTTCTTAGCAACTATCGCCGCACGACTTATTGCTTCTGGAAAAGTTTTATGAACCCCAAAAAAAGAACGATGATAATAATAAAAAAATAAACAAAAAATTAAAAAAATATATAACATTTATTTCAAAGAAATAAGAACTATGTCGCGAGTATATATAAATACCATCGGTAAATAGTCGCAAATACTCAGCCGAAAGAAGTAATGCGTCCTTTCTTGCTATTTTAAGTCATCATCACAATAATTAATTGATATTAATTGATTAAAGAACCTTTTGCCTTTTGATGAAAATACATATATATATATATTCGATATCCACGTTATTAATTTACCTTTAGTTTTATGTTTTTTCCATACGGTTTTGAAAATATTGTTCAAGACTGTCTAAAATTTATTTTAGGCAAAGTTAATATAAATTTTATGAATCAAGTACGTATATAAATGATATTTACTGTATCGAAAGTAATTGGTTCTTCAGAGCTCATTGAAAAAATTGAAAATTATTACATCAATAAATTCGCGCCTAAAAATCCTAAGATATTCAACAAAAAAGTGATCATTGGCCAATTAAATCGATTAAATCAATCAAAGAAATTCAAAAATGCGCAATATACCGATACTGTATAACAATGTGAAAACGTCAAATAGGGATCCTCATCGGCAGACCCCCAAATTCTGCCTGCTTTATGATAAATTTGATAGATTATAGGTTGGTTATATTGTGAAAATTGTAATCTTACAATACATGTATTTTTAGATATTTCATGTAATTTTTATTACGCTAAATATAAAGCACTAGCATTAAAAAAGGATTTTTGTCACTTCTCTTATTGTTTGTAGTTATTACTACAGTCAGACCTCTCTATAGTTGCTTCTTATATAAGCACATTTTCTTTATAAAAAAACAAACTATATACAGTATTGTTAAATATATAAATTTGATCTCTATAACTATTATGCTTCTCTACACACACATTTTTGTATTCCAAGTATGAAATTATAAAGAGTTTGGCTATATTTGTTATTATATTATATATTTTGTTTTATTATTTAAATTACTATTTGATTTATTGTTATCTTAGTATTATTATTATTGTTTTTTTTTTTTTTTTTTTTTTTTTTTTTTTTTTTTTTTTTTTTTTTTTTTTTTTTTTTTTTTTTTTTTCTTTTTTTTTTTTTTTTTTTTTTTTTTTTTTTTTTTTTTTTTTTTTTTTTTTTTTTTTTTTTTTTTTTTTTTTTTTTTATTCTTTGATAGGTCTTGCCGTGGCTTGACCTCTTAGTTTTAAGTATATTTACACTATATACTATTATTTCTAAGACTAATTTAAAGCCCAACTTCACCCAGTTACCTAATTGCAGTACCTAAATACAACCTATCACATTGGCTTACAGATAAGCTAAAAAAAAAAGTTCTTTTTATAAACTTGTTCAAAAGGGGTTTTCACCCTTTTGTATCCAATTTGAAATAGCGTCATTCCATACTTTATATGTTTTTCCTTCTTTTGTTAATGTTTTGTTTCTTCTTTTTTTTCTTTCTATATTACTTTCTTTCCTCTTCTTTGCTTCTTTTCTTTTTGGACTATTCGGCAATAAATTTTTCGGTTTTGGTACTTTCTTCTTTTTTCCTCTTTTATCTATCTTTTTTATGTTTTGTTTTTTTTCCCATTTTATGATTTTGCTACATCTGTCTTTCTATATAAAATCATAAAACCTATTCCAAATTATATGTGATGTGAGTTCTACTATGTATAAAGCTGATTTTGTTAAGTTAAAGAGAGTCTTAATATTATTAAATGCTTCTGCAATAGTTAGACCTTTAATCCACAATTTTCTCCTTTCTAGTTTAATGAAACCTAAGTCTCTGATAAGAATTTTATAAAGAGTGTTTTTTGGATAAAGAAATTTTTCTTCTTTTGTGAGTTTGGACCATGCTAGATCAATTGCTATATCCTTTATATTTTGCTATATTACTTTATAAAATGTATATTTGGCTAAATAATTTTGTATTTTCAATATATCCTTATTACAAGCTATACAGTTGCTGCTTGTATAGATATCTGGTTTTCTTCTTGCCAAAGTTCTGAGTACCGGTAAATTTTTTATGAGACACTTCAGTTAGGTTGTAAGTTTTTTACTTTTATTTAGCATATTACATCTTATTTCCTTTAGTTTTTTAATTCTTTTCTAGTAAGAAAACCAGTCTAACTTTGGATTATTTGTTTCAGGTTTTAAAGCAAGAGTCGCTTCTATTAATCTCCAGTTTGTATCATTCCAGGTTTCAAAGATTTTTTTCAGAAAGGATCTGGTTGATTTTTCAACCTTGTAGTTATTTCAGAAGAGGGAAAATGTAATTCTGATATTATGGTTTGCATGAATATATATTTATCAAGTAAGCTAGTGTAGTAGCATTTTTTGCTAGTAGATCTGCTTTGTCATTTCATTTGTTGTTATTATGACTTTTAATCTTTTTGAGTTCTAGATTAATTTTTTTTGCTTTAAGAAGATCTGCAATTTTGATTAAAATGTTCCAGTTTTTTTCTTTATAGTTTTTGTTAAATCTCTACTTATCTTTGGTTTTTTTAATACTAGCAATTGCTACTGCACTATCTGAAAAGATGCAAATATTACAACTTGATGGAATAGTAAAGAGTGCTAGCCAGATTGCGATAAGCTTGGGCTTTGTTGATGATGGCCAGTTTTCTATTTTTGCATAACCCTCTCTTAATACCTTTTTTTAGCTTTTGTCTACTTGTACCCATCTAGCACCCATACAGCATCTATTTTTTTCATAAACTAGTAAACCATCAGTATATATTCAAAAACTATTTTTTCTACTACTTATATTAAAATCTAACCTATTTTTTAAACTATTCATCAAAATTATATTGAAATTCTGGTCTATTAATAGCTATTTGTCTAGTGGTTCAATATACTATAAACCACAAAGAGTTGCTTCTACTTTGCTAGGTTTAGATATTTTTAGTTTGCTTGATTTACTTGGCAAAATATCTTTATAATTAGGGATATATTTCTGGTTCTTTCTTTGTAACAGTTTTGAAATTACTATCCGCACATTTTTTTGATTGATCCAACTATAATCTTCTTTCTGCTCTGTTGTTGAGGCTTTGTTTAGTCTTTTTATTTCTATATACACTGGTATTGTATCATTTTCTTTAGATATCTAGCTTTCTGTAAGGATTTTATGATTACTTTTCTTAATGATCTTTCTTGCCTCTAATTCATCATTTTCTTTATCTATTAGAATCCATTCTTTTTCCTTTTGTCTGATGAAATTAACACAGATGGTATTACGGGTATAAGGTTGTTTGGGCCTAGAGTCTGGTAATTCTTTTTAATTTTTCTGCTCTCTGGATCTCATAATAGAGTATTTTCTATAGAAGCAAACCATTTTGCTTTCTTTCCTACTTTGAATTTACTCTTTGCTGCTTTTATCTGCTGCTATATTAAAAGTTTTTTTTCTTCTTTATCTAGGAGTTGGTCATGAAAGATAATATCTAAATTATATAGATTTCTTAATACCTTTGTAAAAAAAGATATGTTTATAACTTCTTTGATTAAAGAGCCAGTTTCTTAAAAGAGCCATTGTTCAGATAAAGGTTTGATATTTATGTTAAAGGTTTTTGCTTTATACAAAATTAGGCAAGTTGTATTGTTTTTCTAAATTATATTCAGACTTGGATCTGTCTCAAAGTGCTAGCTATTATCAATAATATTTGCTATAAATAAACCTTGTTTAATACGTATTTTTGCTAGTTGGCTATCTTGATTAGAGCTATTTAATCTTCAATGAAGATCTGTTATTTGTTGTGTAAAAAGCTCTTGCTATAAGAATTTGCAGTTGTCTAAGTTTCTATATAATAGCAAGTAGTTACTTGTTGTGCATAGCAAATCGATTTTGTTTTTAATTAACCTTATCATTGGTTGATAAATTGAGTTTAAACCATTTTTTGAGAGGTTGGATACCTGTAGCAGGTAGTATAGTTTTGGAATTAAATATATATTGTTTAGGTAGATTAATTGGCTTAGTGTGAGTTTTTTGTTTTTAATTATCTTAATAGTTGCTTGAACTAAATATTTGTTTTTGACTAATGTAGATTGTTCTTTTTTGCTAAGCCACACTTCCAGAAATCTTGTAAGTTTGTTGTCTTTTACTACTTCTACCTTTTCATCTACTAATAGTATATTTATGTTGTCTGCTCTTTCTGGTGAGCTGAGTACTATTAGCTTTGATTTTTTTGGATTTACTCTTATATTATTTATTATATAAAATTCTTTTGCAATTTTGAGGGTTCT